GGGTCTCTGCCCTCAGCCCTTGCCCCCAACAAGGTGGGGTGTCCTCACCTCTCCCAGCATCACCCCCCAGCTTCAGACTAAGCCTGCACACCAGGAGCTCCGGAAACACTCTCCCAAGACCAGGTCCCACTGAGCACGGGCTGGGTGCCTTCTGGGGGACTGAGAGCCCCTCAGCTGACCCGGGAGGCAGGGTTCCAGCCCCTCGCAAATCACAGTCCCCCGCCCCTTCCCCCTGCCATCCTGGCACTTGCTGCCTGAATCGGCGGGGAGTCCAGGTCATGCCGGGGCCACCCCGCTGTGACCTGGTGGCCAGGTGGAGCCACAGGCTCACACTGCTCTCCAAGCTGAACCTCAGGAGACAGCCCTGCCCGCCAATTCCAGCCAAAGCCTCAGAACCAACCCAGGCGCGGGCTGGACCGACCCTGCACACCAGCCTTTCCGGGCCGGGTAGCAAGCTGTGCCCACAGCCCCTGGTTTACTAGGGCTCTACTGGGGCCCAGGTCAGGGATCCCTCAGCCCCAGCTCTCCTCTGGTCTCCATTGAAGCTGTCCCCCTCCCAGGCCAGGTGTCTTGGCTGGTGACCCCGACCTCCCCCCCACCCCCCACACACACGCACCTTCTTTCTCGAGGAGCCAGCCTTGGTGAGGCAGGACTTCTGCAGGGCCAGGTAGCCGCCAATCACCTCGATCTCGTGCACGGTGGGGTAACGCTTCTTCAGGCCGGTCCCCAGAACAGCAGGGGGCTCCGACAGGCGGTCCACCTCCACTTCCTCAGCCTCCAGTGGCCCGGGCTCCCCATTGGCCAGCAGGACCCCTGGCTTCCTCTTGGGCACCACCGTGAAGGTATTGCCACCTTGGTGCAGGAGCTCCGATGGGTGGTACCGGGGAGGCCCCCTGGCCCCCGAGCAGGGCAGTTTGGCTTCTTGGGGGTCCTCATCCTCCGAGTCCACCTCATCGATGAAGGTGACGGGCAGCCCTGGCCTTCCGGGCTCCCCGCCATTCTTGGCCAAGCCGGACACCCCGAAGTCCTGGGAAGGCTCAGCTTCAGCGGCCACTGGGAGGGATGGGGGCGGCGAGGATGGCCTCTGCCACCTGACAGCCTGGTCCACTAGGGCAGTGGCTGGCCTGGGGCAGGCCTCCTCCTGGACCCCCAAGGGGCTCCTCTCTCCCACGGGTGCACCGTCAGCTCCAGACACCAGCTGGGCTCCGCGCTGTGGGCGCTGCAAGGCCCGGACAGCCTCTCCCTCTGGCAGCCGCACAGGCCGCCTCCCTTGGGGCGGAGGGGCGCCGGTGGCCTTGCGCTTGGGGACGAACACGAAGGAGTTGCGGGAGTTCACACGGAGACTGGCCAGGGCCCGGGCCTGCAGGTCCCCCGCGGGAATCGTGTCCATGTCGGGCTTGGAGGCCGGCCGTATCTCGAAGGAGTCGTTGGCGCTGGTGGCCGAGGAGACCCAGCGGCGCTGGCTGGGAGTGGCACTGGCAGGGCTGGGCCTGGGCAAGGCCGGGGGCGAGGCTGGAGTGGCACTGGGGGTCCCGGGGCTGGGGGGCGGGCGGGCGGGGGGCTCCCCCGACTCCACCTTTGGCTTGTACTCTCCCGGCCCAAGGCCGGAGCCCGCGATGCCGTTGGCAGCGCCGGCCGGGGACTCCGGGGCCGCGGGCCCGTTGGGGAGCGGGCGAGCGCCCGCCGCGCGGTGCAGGCCCCGGGGGTGGACGGTGAACGAGTTGCTGCTGGTCTTCTGCAAGAAGTCGCTGCGCCGGGCGCCCGGCCCGGTGCCGCGCCGCTCGGGCTCCAAGGAGGCGGCGCGCTCGCCCACGCGCGGGGCGGCCGGGCGGAGGGCAGGCGGCTGGGGCGGCTGGGGTGGCGGCGGCGGCGGGGGGCGACTGCGCTCCGGGCTCCCGCGACGGCGCGGCGCGGCCGGCGGGTCGAACTTCTGGAGCAGACGGCTGACGCGGCCCGGCGACGGCGGCGCCTCGTACACGAGCACCTCGGCGGCGCGGATGCGGGCAGCCAGGCCGGTGGCGGGGTCGGGAGCGGCGGGCGGGAAGCCGGGCACCGACTCGATGATGAGGATGTTGTCGGCGCGGATGGTCCGCACGCCCGGCACCCGGCGGTACAGCTCCAGGAGCTGTTGCACCGGCCGCGCCCCCGCCGCTCCCGCGCCCGCGCCGCCGCCGCGCCGCACTCCGCGCCGCCGCTCCGACTCGAGCCGCATGAACGGGTTCTCGCACAGCGGGCCCAGGCTATCGGCCAGCACGAGCCGCTCGCCCGCCGGCTCCGCGGGTCCCGCCGCGTCCGCCCCGGCCCCCGGCGCCGAGCCCCCGGTCAGGGCCGCCAGCTTGGCCCGCTTCCGTTCCAGGATCTCCCGCTTCCAGGCGGGCATCCCGGCGCGGGGCCCCGGGCCCGGCCGCCCCAGGCCGGCCATGCTGCGGAGCGGCCGCCAAAGCCAGCGCGCGCTGGGAACTGCGGCAGCCGCCCGCCGGTAGCCCTCGCGCAGCGGCCACGCCCCCTCCCGCGACCGCCGCCCATTGGGGAAGGCGCCCTGAGACCCGCCCCGCGCCCGGCAGCCCCACCTATGACAGGAAAGGATGGCCAGCCGATCGGATTGGAGAAGGCTCTCCAGGACCCCGCCTTCCCAGGATCTCATTGGATGGCGTCCCCCGTCGGCGCCGGCTCCCATTGGGGAAGGCCCCTTTGAACACGCCCCTGACGCCTCGCGCTGCTCATTGGCGGCCCTCACTTCCGCCTCTGCGCCCCGCCCTGGGGGCGGAGCCTGGCGGGGGCGGGGTCCTGGCGGGCCTCGGTAGTTGGACCCCGGGGCCCGGTGTCGCGGTCGACCTTGGCCCGGCCAGGTAACTTCCTCTTGGTGCCAGCGCCCAGCCCAGCCCGCCTGTCCCCCCGAGAGCGCGTGGAGGGAGGACCTGCCCGGAATCAGGACCGGTAGCCTCGCCCCGGGCCTGTGGGCGATGCCCAGGCTGCACACCAGTCCCGCCTGGTCCATGCCTGCCCGCCTGCGGCCCTCCGTTTCCGCGGGACTCGGCGGAGATGCCAGTGCGGGACCCCCGCCAGGGCTGAGGAGTCGGTTCCTCGGGACTTGATTGTGCTGCTCAGACAAGTGGGAGGAGCGCTATCCCACCCACACTTCCATCCAGGAGCGTGGGAGCTGCGAGGAGGCACCAGAGCGGACAGACTTCCTCCCCGTACACAAGCTCTCACGCCGAAGGGCCACAAAAGCCAGGCCGTGTGTGCGCCCTGTTACCTCCCCACGCTACTACTGAACCCCTCATCCCAAGGCTGGGGGGCCCCGCTGACCCTGAGGACACAGCTTCCCTGCCCTCCTGCCATGAGAAAGCTATTCCCCTATGGCCGTGGGTCTCACCCTTCCCAATGCCTCCACCCCTTAATGCAGTTCCTCATGTTGTGGTGAGCCCCACTTTCATTGTTACAAATTGAACATAATTAAAGCATAGTGTTTCATCACAAAAACAATCTGTAATTATAGATGTGTTTTCCGATGGTCTAGGCGACCCCTGTGAAAGGGTCGTTTGACCCCCAAAGGGGTCGCGACCCACAGGTTGAGAACCGCTGCCCTATGCCCACCACGTCCTTTTGGGTCCACTGGACTCAGGGGAGAAGGGGAACTGGGGAGCAGGTGTTGCCTGCCTTCCACCACCCGCCTGCAGCCAGCAGCAGTCCTCAGGGGAGGAGCTCCAGGCCCCGGGCAGGCTCCAGCCTGAGGCTCGCCTCTCAGCTTCTGGAGGCTGTGGCGGTAAATCACCTTTCCAAAGGAAAGTAAACCTTCTTATTCTCGTTACTTCTATAGCAACAGAACTCCCTAATTCCGAACTAACAGAATAAAACGGGAACAAAACAGGCAACCTAGAAACAACATGAATCGAAAACTCACTCCAGCCCTAGGTGGTTTGGCTCGGTGGAAAGACCGTCAGCCTGGGGACTGAAGGGCCCCGGGTTCAATTCTGGTCAAGGGCATGTACTTCGGTTGCCGGATCCATCCCCTGCCCAGGTGGGGGCGTGTGCGAAGGCAACCAATCGATGTGTCTCTCTCGCATTGATGATTCTCTCCGTCTCTCTCGCCCTTCCCCCCTCTCTAAAAATCAATGGAAAAATATCCTCAGGTGAAGATTAACAAACAAACAAAAAAGGAAACTCACTCCAAACGTTCAGCTTGTATTTGGCTTGGGCACAAGTTAGGTCATGCCTGGGTAGGAAACATTTTGCAGCTGTGGTTCAGACCAGACCAGACCAGACCTGTCTCCAGCTCAAGCATCTCAGCGGCCCCGCAGCACGCACACGTCCTCCGCGAAAGGTCACCACGCTGCTGCGACAACAAGGGCCCACCCACCTGTTCTGTAAACGGCCAGACAGTAAACGTCTTCACCCGCTGGTCCTCACCAGGGACAGCCTTTTCTCCCAGGAGACGTGGCAATGCCCGGACCCACTTCTGGTTGTCACAAACGAGAGATGCCACTGGCACCTAGAGAGGAAAGGCCGGGGATGCTGCTACAGTGCTCAGCAGAGCCCTCCTGGAGCAAAGAACGATCTTACCCACAAGACCGGCAGCGCCGACACGGGGACCCTGCACACGGCAGGCACGTTGGCTTTCTGTCACACGTTCTTCTGTTTTCATGACCCTTTAAGGATTAGTACAAAGACGGCCTCAGGCCGTAACCTGCTGGCCCTCTCTACAGTGTCAGCCAGGTCCACAAAGACCACACATTGGCAGGATGCCAAGGCTCTGATGCCACAAACTACTCACTAGGCTCTCAACACTGGCCTACCCCATGTCTTCATGCGGCTCCCAAGGCAGGAAGTAGGAATTCTCTGAGGGAAACCTCCCCCCACCCCCCCGCCCGCCCCCCCATTAACCTCCAGCAGGTCCCAGCCCTCCTACAACCTCAGCTCTGTAACCAACCACAGCACACAGGAGGGGGCGTCTCCGCGCTCATTCGATTTCACTCCCTATGGGTCAGGCCACCACGGCGTTTCAGCAAAACATTCTATTTTATTTTTATCTCAGCAAAGGTCCTCATGTGGCACCTGACTGGTACCAAACCAAAGACCTCAGGCCAACAAATGGGAGCTGAGACCACCTGCACCTCTTCCCCTCGCAGGTGCGCTGACAGTGCTGGCCACCAGGTGGCGGGACAGGTGGTGACACTGCAACCTGCTGGGACAGGAAGCCAAGCAGAGCCTTTACAGCAAAGTTCTTTTCTCAGGTGACAGACCTCCAGGCCGGTCCGATCATGCTTGTTTGACACCTTCCTGGGTGCCTTGGCTGGAATGAAGACAGGGCCATCCTTTCCCCAGTGGCAAGGGGCGGAGATACACTCGGAGCTCAAACGGCGAAGGAGGTCTTGTCTGGGTGAACCGGACACTGAGCTCTGGGGTCAGCGATGCTGGCCGGCCTTGCAGCCTTGGCCCACTTTCCCAGGATCCAGGACAACACTGAGCCCTCGAGGACATTTTGCTTACATGCAGTTTCCAGCTGCCAGAGGAGTGCAGGCCTGTCACGCTTGGGTCCTTCTCCAGGTCTCCGTTCAGATGCGCTATTCAACGCATGAAATAACAGGAAATAGATTTGAAGGACCAGGGCTACTCTTTTCCTCCCTGCTGAGCAGTTTCAGACATGACTGGCACAGAGAAAGCTGAGCACTCAGCGGGGTACAAGCTGGAGTTGCTGTCACACCCAGACTTCTCCTCCGGGTGCGGCGGGAGACCGGGTCCTCACCCTTCCGGGGTGGCCCTCAGCTTTCCGCCCAGCCTTCTGGCTGCGGAGAGCTCCCTTCCCGGCCCCTCTGCGAGGCTAGTTGACCCGGCAGGCGCGGATCATGAGCAGCTGCAGGAGAATGAAGACGGGAGACGTGATCAGGCCGAACCAGAGCTCCCGAGTCTGCTCCACCAGCTTCTGGCACAGCAACATCTCGAACACGAACTTGAGGCTGAGAACCGTGAGGATCCAGAAGAGGCGGAGCACGGCCAGCCGCTTCTCCCCGTCCTGGAAGAGACGCACCGACACGATGGTGGTGAAGTAGGTGCTGAGCCCGTCGGCGGCGAAGAAGGGCACGAACACGTTCCACCAGGAGAGGCCGGGCGCCAGGCCGTCCACGCGCAGCGCCAGCAGCACGGAGAAGGCCAGCAGGGCCAGCAGGTGCACGAAGATCTCGAAGGTGGCGAAGCCCAGCCACTGCACCAGCTCCCGGAGCGAGAAGAGCATCGCGCCGGCGGCGCGCGGGCCCGGGCCCAGCCGAGCGTCTCACCCGCCGGGCCGCGCCTCCTCTCCCCGCGGGCCTCGCCGGCGCCCGCCGCTGCGAACCGGAGGCCACGAGCGGCCCGCCTGCCCCGTTCCTCGGCCCCGGCGCGCCGCCGACCCCCCGACCCCAGCCCGGGACCCAGCACCGGCCGCCAGCGGACGCCCGGCCCGCTCGGACGCCATGCCCCGCTGGACGCAGCCCCAGCGCGTCACTTCCGGGCGACGCCGGAAGCCGGAAATCGGGGTCGATCCCGGCCGCCGGGGCGCTCGGGGCAATCTGCGGGTCGTGTTCCCCGCGCCCCCCGATGCCGAGCCCACGGCTCCTGGTGCTGTTCGGCAGCCAGACCGGCACGGCCGAGGATGTGGCGGAGCGGCTGGGCCGCGAGGCCCGGCGTCGGCGTGTGGACTGCCGGGTGCAAGCCCTGGATTCCTACCCGGTGGTGAGGGCTCCCTGGGCCTCGGCGGGGAGACCGGGCAGCCGGGGCGCCGCGTTCGGGGCGGGGACGCGGGGGGACATCGCGCGCCTGGTCGCGTGGAGGAGGGGCGGGGGGCCCGGGGGAAGGGGGCCGGCGGCTGCGGGTCTCCCCGAGTCCCTGTGCCCCGCCTCCAGGGCACGGTCCAGGGCTAGGAGCTGAGCTGTGAGGCCAGAGGCCACCTTTCCACCCGCGGAGCCACCAAAGCAGAAGCGGCAGGCTTAGCCGGCAGCGCCCCGCCAGGAAGCCAGGGCGCCGGGGGGAGAGCCAGCGGAGCGGGGCAGTAGGAAGGGCCGCCCTGCCTGTCCCACCCCGGGCCGGGAGGGCTGCCTGGTCCCTGCGGCCTGAGGTCTTACACGTGTGTCTTTTTGTTGAGGTGAATCTGATTAACGAGCCCCTGGTGATATTTGTTTGTGCAACTACAGGCCAAGGAGACCCCCCTGACAACATGAAGGTAAGGCTGCCCCGGGCGCCCGCTGTGCTCGGGTGCAGACCCCTGCCCTGGCCCGCACCCCCTTGTCAGTGCCTGGGGTGGGGGGGGTCTGAAGCACAATGAGCAGTGCTGCCGGGCAGCTGTGGATGTGAGAGGAGCCGGGGGTTCTGGTTCCTCCCAGATAAACTCTTCCCAGGGCACCATCGTTCCCCTCCTGCTGTCCCCGGCCCTGTGTGATCTCGCCTGGGTCTCACGTGTATTTCGAAACTGTTTGCCTTTCCGGGAACACCCTCAAATCTTTAGCCATCATTTGGGCACACGTTATAGTTCCAGCACGATCCAGGGCTAGGAGCTGAGCTCTGAGGCCAGTGGCCACCTTTCCACCCTCACGGAGACAACGGCAAAGCAGAAGCAATGGGTGTCACAGGCGGTGACAGGCCAGGAAGTACAAGCCGCTGGGGAGAGTGGGTGTAGGCGAAGTCCTGAGGATGAGGGGGGCTACCCAGGCCCCAGGAGAGAGCGGGCAGCCCGCCTCTGGGAAGAGCGAGCAGCGGTTCGGGGGTTCAGGATGACAGAGCCAGGCACGTGTCGGGGGAGGAGGGAGCAGAGTCACGGTGAGGCAGGGGGACATGAGCGAAGGGCTGCGGGCCTCACAGGTGACAGTCATAACGAAACCACCACCTGTCGGGGGATGGGGGGGGCTGTAGGAGAGCAAGGACAGTGCGGGGGTGGGGGTACCCAGCGCAGGTAGGAGACTAAAAGTGGACGCATCCCAGAGACGTTAAGGTAGACTCGACAGGACACAGAATGAAACAGGTTTCAAAGATGAGAAAGAAGGTGGTGGGATCCAGACAGGGATTCAGGCTCAGTCGCACACAGGGAGATAGACCAGCCAGGGCCCCGTGCCTGGGACCGTCCGGATGGAGACGTGAGGTGGCTCTGGAGCCCCAGCCAGGGTCCTGGGTGGAGGTGGGTGTTGGAGGGAGGTGCTTTCCGAGGAAGGTGTCTGCTCAGAGCTGCGCGGAAATGGAGCGAGATAAGGCCTGGAGGCATCCGTGGGGCTTATCAGCGAAGGGACTGGTGACCTTGGGGGAGCCCTTTCAAAGGCTCTCGGGGAGGGAGGCTGGATAAGAGGGTGACAGGCAACTAACGAGGGAGGGAGGGGGTGGAGAGAGTCTTTAGGAACCCAGAAAGACTTCTGACTGTGCCTGGGGCTGAGGGGTGAAAGGAAGGTTTTTATAAGATGGGAGGGACACGGCCAGGGGACATGCTGGAGGGGACAGTGGCCGAAGACTAAAGAACAGGATGGGGTGGGGATGATGCTGGAGACTCAGGGCGTCTCCAGGACCCCAGCACAGGGTCTCCTCAGACAGGAGAGAAGGCAGGTTGGCGGGGATCAAAGGCAGGAGGGGAGGTGGGGTGGGAGACGCAGGGCCCGCAGGGCCCGGACCGGAGGGGTGGGTGCCCTCCCATCAGCCCCCTGGGCCGTCAGGGCAGAGGCACAGGCTCAGCGTGGGAAGCCAAGAGCTGAAGGTGACGATGAGCACGCCGGGACGAGGGTGGGTGACGCAGGCCCAGGCTCCCGCTTTGCTCTCAGCTTCTTAAGTACAAACAGACCACGGAGCCAGCGCCCACGGCAGGGGCGACCCCGTGAGAGGCGGACCAAGGGGAGCAAAGAGCCGCGGGCGGGCTCCCCGCAGAGGGACACTCGGCCCACGGCCAGCACGGGAGACGCAGGCTCGGAAAGAGCGCCAGGGAAATTGGTAAAGACGGAGTTGAGACGTTCTTCCAAAAGTAACAAAGCGTAAGAGGAAGAAGAGCTTAAAGCTCTGAGCTCACTCCAGGAGCCGCGGAGTGGGAACGTAGGGAGGAAGTTGTCAGGGAAAGGAACAGACCGTCCCAGAGCCGAGGACAGGTCTCGGCCTGAGCCCTCGGGTGCCAGGAAGGGCCCATGGGGCACGCAAAGCTCCCGACCGACGCACGTCCTCGTGGGGGCTGCAGGGCTGAGAGGGTCACCGACTCCCCAGCAGTGACCCCCCCCCCACCCTCAGAACAAAGCTGAGGGTCCGGGATCCGGGGAAGGCCGTGTCAGCCCAGGTTCTCCCGCAGCCGGTCGGACGGGGAAGGCAGGTGTGCGTGCTCCGGCGTCGGCCAAAGGGGTTCGCCTCCCCTGGTCGCACAGGAAGTGCGCTGGGAGGTTCTCCGCGGGTTTAACCCAGCGCCTGGGAGGCTGGGCAGGCAGGGTGCCCGCGGGGCCCAGGCAGCCAAGTGCTAGGGTTGGGGGGAGAGGGGGCGGTCCAGGGCCAGCGGGCAAAGCTGTGCCTCCACAGGCCCAGGGCCGGTCCACCCCGTGGCCTCGGTTGGGAGAGGCCCGTGCGGCAGGGCCAGGTCAGTGCTGGAGGCTGTGCCTTGGACGCAGCTCTGCAGACCCTGGTCCTCGCCCTCGCAGCTCCCGCCCTCCCGTGGCTCAGCCACCAGGAGGGCCCAGAGGAAGGGAGGCGCTGCAGAGGGGGGCGAGGTGAGGACGGCTCAGCCCCCCCAGGGGGCCCGGGAACGTGGGCCTCTCGTGTGAAGAGACGAGAAGCCTCCAGGGACCCAGGGAGGAGCCGGTCGGCGGCAATGCCCGCGCAGCGAGGCCTGGTGGCCCTCCCTCTGCGCCAGCCTGTCCCCCGGAGAAGCCCGGCGGGAGGGGAGCCCACGCCCCACAGCGGCTCTGGGGCGGCCTTCTCGCAGTTCCCTGCCTCTTGCACATGCCTGGCCTTTTGAGGGAATGGCAGGCGGTCTGTGTTAGCGCCGGGGGCGGGAGAGGGGCCCTGGGGAGGCCGGACCAGCCCTCCCCGCCCCTGACCCCGGTCTCTGGCGGCAGAGCTTCTGGAGGTTCCTGTTCCGGAAGAGCCTGCCGTCGACCTCCCTCTGCCAGGTGGACTTCGCCGTCGTGGGCCTTGGGGACTCCTCCTACGCCAAGTGAGCGGGGCGCCAGGCTGCTGGCCGGGGGCTGTCCTGGGAGAGGGATAGGCACCCCAGCCTCCAGGGCTCCTGCCAGGCTGGGCCACAGCCCTGGGCCCTCGCCCCACCGGGGCTCCCCAGTGTGGGCGCCTTTGTGGGTGGGCGGGGTGCGACACGGGGCCCAGGTCCGGCACCCAGGGGACTTCCAGGGCTGCCACCAGCCAGCACCAGGCGTTCACAGGGGACAGGACAGCCAGCTCTTGCCCCACTTTTATAGAAACACGTTTCGTGAGACGGTCGGCTTGTTGGAAACAGTGCAGAGGCAGGCGCGGGGGATGGGCAGTGGGTGCAAAGGGCCGCAGGCCCAGGAGCCCCCGTGGCCACCCCTCCGGCCGGCAGTGTAACCCTCTCCCGTTTTTCTCAGCGTCTTCACGGCATAGCGTGTCCCAGCAGGGGGCAGTGTTGCTCTGGGTTATTTCCCAAGTGAACACCAAGGGTTCACGTTCAGGCTGCAAGTGGCAGCAGGTCACGGCGTCAGAACCCTGACCGTCCAGCAGGGTTAGGGCTGAGGGGGTCCCACGCCTCAAAGCCAGGCCGTGGGAGGAGGTGCTCGCTTGGTCTGGAGAAAAGGAGGGGCGTGGTGACTGTGCCCCTCGTGCTTCCAGCGTCCCGGGGAGGGCTCCTTCAGGGAGCTGCGCCGAGGCCAGACGACCCTGGGAGATGGGGAGACGTGGGCTGCCCCCCGCTGCCCTCCAGGGCCCCACGTACAGTGCTGCCCGCTGCCCTCTGCCTGCATGGCTGGCTGGGCGGCTTCCCTCACCTCACGTCCGGTGCCCGCAGCAACCTCCCTCTCTGCACAGGTTCAACTTTGTGGCCAAGAAGCTGCACCGGCGGCTGCTGCAGCTGGGGGGCGCCGCCCTGCTGCCTGTCTGCCTGGGCGATGACCAGCACGAGCTGGGGTGAGTGTGCCAGGGAGCGAGCGCCCCCCGGGCGGGAGGGCAGCCCTGAGCAGTGCCCTCAGACAGCGTCGTGCCCTCTGTCCAGGCCCGATGGTGCCATTGACCCCTGGCTGCACTCGCTGTGGGAGAAGGTGCTGGGGCTGTACCCCGTGCCCCCTGACCTCGGCGTGATCCCCCCTGGAGTCCCGTGAGTGTGGGCTTTGGTTTGGATCCGCGGGTGCACCCGAGCGGCCTGGCCACCGCCTCGCCGGGGCCTCCCAGGCCTGCGGGTCTGACGGGCAACCCCCCCACAGCTTGCCTTCCAAGTTCACCCTGCGGTTCCTTCAGGAGGCCCCGGGGCCGTGCCCGCCAGAGCCACACGCGGCCCAGGCAGACCCCCCGAGCCCCCCTTCAGAGCAGCGGCCCTTCCTGGCGCGCATGGTCACCAACCAGCGGGTCACCGGCCCCTCCCACTTCCAGGACGTGCGGCTCATTGAGTTCGACACCGCGGACTCGGGAATCAGGTGCGGAGTCCGTCCTGTGCACCCGGGGGCGGGGGGGGGGGGGGCGGGGGGCACGGCCGTGGTGAGCGCCCTGGCCCTCTCCCAGAGCCTCAGCCGGCACTCGGCAGCCCGGCTGCGGGCGACCTCAGCCCCAGACCCAGCCCTCCCTGGACACTGGCCTTCCTCTCCTGTGGCCGCCTCCACCCCAAGCCCCCAGCTCCCGCCCACACCCCCCCTGGCTTCCCACCAGCTTTGTGGCCGGCGACGTGGTGCTGATCCAGCCTGAGAACACGGCCAGGCACGTCCAGCTTTTCTGCCAGGTGCTGGGCCTGGACCCTGACCAGCACTTCACGCTGCAGCCGCGGGAACCAAGTGAGTGCGGGCCGGCTGCCCCCCTCACTCCCACCCTCGCCCAAGTCCCTGGCCACCACCACCACCTCTCCCTGCTTCAGATGTCGCCTGCCCCGAGCGGCTGCCCCAGCCCTGCTCCGTGCGGCACCTCGTGTCCCAGCACCTGGACATCGCCCGCGTGCCGCGGCGCTCCTTCTTCGAGCTCCTGGCCTGCCTGTCCCCCGACGCGCTCGAGCGGGAGAAGCTGCTGGAGTTCAGCTCTGCCGCCGGCCAGGAGGCCCTGCACGAGTACTGCCACCGGCCCCGGAGGACCACGCTGGAGGTGCGGGCGGCAGGGGGGCCGTGGGCCGCAGCCACCGTGGCCTGCTGGCCGCCGCCCTGCTGAGGCCGTGTCTGTGCAGGTGCTGTGTGACTTCCCGCACACGGCGGCGGCCATCCCCCCGGACTACCTGTTGGACCTCATCCCCCCGATCCGGCCGCGTGCCTTCTCCATTGCCTCCTCTCTGCTGGTGAGCGTCCGCTGGGGCTGGGCATCGGGCTGGGGGGCGTGCCGGGTAGCCATGCGGGCAGGCACCCACATCCCATCCCCCAGGCTCAGCCCACGAGGCTGCAGGTGCTCATGATGGGCAGGTGCCACCATCCGCCCCCACCAACCTGCCCCCCATCCCGCCTCCCCCAGGCCCACCCCGCGAGGCTGCAGGTGCTCGTGGCCGTGGTGCAGTATCGGACTCGCCTCCAGGAGCCCCGGCGGGGCCTCTGCTCCTCGTGGCTGGCGTCCCTGGACCCTGGGCAAGGTGACCCCTGCTCCTCAGCAGGTAGGGGTGGGCAGGGCTAGGGCCCTGGCCCTCCAAGCCTCTTCACGCCACCTCCCTCTTGCCATAGGCCCTGTCCGGGTGCCCCTGTGGGTGAGGCCTGGGGGCCTGAGCTTCCCCCAAGTCCCAGACACGCCTGTGATCATGGTGGGGCCTGGCACCGGCGTGGCCCCCTTCCGAGCAGCCGTTCAGGAGCGAGTGGCCCAGGGCCAGACCGGTGAGTGGACAGGGTGCAGGGCCCGGCGGGGCCGGGCTGAGCCGCGGCAAGTCCAGGCTCAAGGCCCTGCGCCTCCCCAGGGAACCTCCTGTTCTTTGGCTGCCGCTGGCGGGACCAGGACTTCTACTGGGAGGCCGAGTGGAAGGAGCTGGAGAAGAGGGGCTGCCTGACCCTGGTCACAGCCTTCTCCCGGGAGCAGGTGGGTGTGCGCGGAGGGTGGGGGCGGGGCGGGGCTAGAGCGCATTCACCCACCCATCCTGCGTCCTGCAGGAGCGGAAGGTGTACGTGCAGCACCGGCTCCGGGAGCAAGGGCCGCTGGTGTGGGAGTTGCTGGACCGCCAAGGCGCGTGCTTCTACCTGGCGGGGTGAGCCTGGGTGTGGGGTGAGCCTGGGTGTGGGGCCGGGCACCAGGCAGCACTGAGCCCGCTCGGCCTGTCTCCCCAGCAACGCCAAGGACATGCCCGCAGACGTGTCGGAAGCCCTGGAGTCTGTCTTCCGGGAGGAGGGGGGGCTCTCGGGCCCTGAGGCCACCGCCTACCTGGCCCAGCTGCAGCGGTCCCTGCGCTTTCAGGCCGAGACGTGGGCCTGAGGAGCTGCCGGCTGGCCGGTCCCTTGGGCTGGTCCTGCCTGACCCCAGGTGGGCAACGGCCAGCTCCCCTGTGCGGCCGCACGCGTCGGGGCCTACACTCCGCAGCCGCGTCCCTGGCTCCAGCTGGCCTTTCCCACTGGCCCCAAGTTAGGTCCTGCTCAGGGGGTGACCCAGGAAGGCATCCTAGCCTGATGGGCGCCAGGGAGCTCCCCCAGACGCCAGATTCCAAACGGCACAGGAATCTGGGGGTGCAGGGTCCCCGGGAGGGCTGAGTTCCCCCTCCTCTGCCCTGGGTCGCACCCCAGCCCTCAGGTTCCCGGGCCTGTGGGACGAGTCACCATCCTTGCCTGGTTCCACGAAGACTCAGCAATAAACGTCAGGCCCAGGTGCTGCTTCTGACCTGTTGGTTCTCATGCTGTTCCGATGCCTCAGGTGGGGGTGGGCCCACAGCTCCTGGGACAGGAACAGCCGCGGCGGGGACACGGGGCCACGGCTCAGCACTGTGGCTGCAACACTTTGGTGTCTGACTCTCACCTAGTGGGTGGGACTGTTTGCCCACCTTGTACAAGCTCTGCCCTGGGTCTGATGGGGTAGGGGGCAGTCTGGAGAGGACCCCGAAAGGAAGGGTTGGGGAGTGCTTGGCTAGGCGGGTAAGGACCATTCCTTCAGCCCAGGGAGCAGCAGCCTGAGGCCCAGGAGGAAGGGGGTGTGGCCTGAGCCAGGAGGGGGCGGGCAGGCAGGCAGGCGCTGTCACCACCTGGGATGGGCCTTCCGGGACAAGGAAATTCCTGTTGGGGCAGTTGGGCAGGCCGGCCTCCCGACACTGCGGGCCTGGAGCCCATCGTCTAAGTCAGGTGCTGACACGGGTCAGTGGTGGCTGTGCCGGGCTCGGGCGGACCCAGTGGGACAGCCTGTGTGGGCCCAGGAGGGGCTGAAGCTGGCCCGGTGCTGAGGCCCCAGGGAGTCCACTTCCTGTCGGGGCGAGGAGTCCAAGGAGGCAGTGGCTGCTGCAAGGTCAGTGCCAGACGCTAACCGGCCCGAGGGCCACTGTGACCTTCACAGCCCCACCCCCCACTGCCGCCCTGGGGTCCCACTCCCCCCATCCTGACTCCTGCCCCGGGGACCCTACTCATGGCCCCACTGACCTCAGCTCGGGGCTCCCCCATCCGCCTTCAGCCTGCCCGGGTCCTGAGCACCTGGACCCACTGTGCCAAGTGCTGGCAGAGGAAAGGGTGGACGGCCAGGCCCTGGGGACCCCTGGGGGTGCCCGGTCTCCAGACAGCGAGCCCCTGCTGGGAACCACAGCGGCAGCCCACCCCTGGGCTAGGCCCACAGGGGAGGAGGAAGAAGAGGAGGAGGAGGAGTGCCCCATCTGCACAGAGCCCTACGGGCCTGGTGGGCACCGCCTGGCCCTGCTGAACTGTGGCCACAGCCTGTGCTCGGGCTGCCTGCACCAGCTGCTGGGCTCGGCCCCCAGCGCCGACCTAGGCCGTGTGCGCTGCCCGCTGTGTCGCCAGAAGACGCCCATGCTGGAGTGGGAGATCTGCCGGCTGCAGGAGGAGCTGCTGCAGGCCGACGGGCCCCCGCGGCCCCCGAGCCCGGCGCCCCCCGCACCACCCCGCCGGGGCCGGGGGCCCTGGGCCTCCCTGGAGCACCACTACCAACTGCGCTTCCTGGCAGGGCCTGTGGGCGTCCAGGGCTGCCTGCCCTTCCTCTCTTGCCCGCCCTGCCTGGGTGCCCGGCTCTGGGCCCTGCGAGAACGGGGGCCCTGCACCCGCCGCCTGGTGCTGCTGAGCCTGCTGGGCCTCGAGCTGCTGGGGCTGCTGCTGGTCTTCACGCCACTCATGCTGCTGGGGCTGCTCTTCGTGCTGCTGGACCGCTCCGGCCACTGAGCCTCTGCCCCTGCACCGCCTGGAGGCGCCGACCGGCCCCGTCCTGCGGGCCTGGGGCCTGGGCTGGAGGAGCACCTTGCCCTGAGCTGATGACCAAGCGAAGGATCCAAGGCTGACCAGGCCTGGTCTTCAGTCAAGACCCAAGACTGGGCCCAGGGTCACCCAGGAGCCTCTGTGCAGCCCCTGACTCCAGACCACCTGCTGTCTAGACAGTAGCCCATGGGGCCCAAGGACAGGGCTGGAGAGGATCATGGCCAGGGCCCCAAGCTCCCCTCGGGGACAGGCACCATGCTGACGGCCTCCCCCACCGCACCCAGCGTGTCTGCGAGAGGCTGAGGACACACGTGAACAGTGGCCTGGCAGTGCGTCCATTCCTTGGAGAGGGTGGGGCCCTGGCAGGGGCTGCCCGTGTCCCAGATAAGATCCCATGTGTGTGCCCTGAAGGTCAGGGCAGCCGAGAGGGGAGGCCCCTGCTCTGCACACTCAGCCCACAAAGGGCCTCCTTGCCAGCCAGCTCGGGACCCAAGGGGGCGCCACGCGTGGCCAGGGCGGGCACATGCCCCCAACGACAAGGGCCAGAGGCCCAGCCAAGCCCTGGTGCTGGAGCACGGTGCAGGCCCCCACGGCGGCAGCCCGTGCTGTCGAGCCGGGGCCTTCACCTGAAGGACGGACCCAGCCAGTCCCAGCACCGCCTCACGGGCTTGGTGACATGCTGTGCGCAGCGCCTGCCCGGGAAACGCTTCTCAATAAACAGCCGCAGCCGCTGGAACCGCTGCCGCCAGTGCCGCCCTCCGTGCCCTTGTCCCGTCCAGTGGCCCTGCTACGCCCAAGCGTCCTCCAAACCCACGTCGTGCCAGGGCCAGACCGGAGCTCCTAGGTCAGTGATGGCGAACCTATGACACGCGTGTCAGAGGTGACACGCGAACTCATTTTTTTGGTTGATTTTTCTTTGTTCAATGGCATTTAAATATATAAAATAAATATCAAAAATATAAGTCTTTGTTTTACTATGGTTGCAAATGTCAAAAAATTTCCGTGTGACACGGCACCAGAGTTAAGTTAGGGTTTTCAAAATGCTGACATGCCGAGCTCAAAAGGTTCGCCACCACTGCCCTAGGTCCTTGTTCCCTTCCACCGTCTTGGCCAGAAATGCCCACCCCGGTCAGCCTGGCTCAGAGCCCTTCCCACACGACCTCAGAGGGTCAGGCGGTCCCCCACCTGGCCACCCACGGCCAGCGGCTACTGCACACTAAGCATCCTCTCCGCCCAGCTGGGCCCGTTCTGCACACCTGCCCGCACATCCCTGCCTGGCACACGCAGGCAGCTGGCTCTGCACAGGTGTGTGAGACGGGCACACGCACACGCACACAGCCAGGCCGTTACCTGAGCGGCATGCCTGGCCCAGCTTGGCCAGGGAGCGGAGCAGGCTGACACCACGCAGTCCTGGGCCGCCCCGTCTGGGCTGCAGTCCCTGGTGCCCACCCTGGCCCTGCGTGTAGGCCACAGCAGCGGCTGCAGGCCAGGGACAAGATGCAAACTTTGGCAGAGTTTTAATGGCAAAGTTGTTGCAGCGACAATGCCACACAGGTGGGGGCCAGAAGCTGTGTCGGGTGAGGGGGCAGGGAGTATGGGGCAGGGCCGGTCCCTGAAGCTGCAGCGCGAGGACCGACCGCAGGCGGTGGCAGGGACGGCGGGCGGGCGGCGGGCAGGCGGGTGGGCACTACATGATGGAGCAGGCGGACAGCGGGTTCCGCACGTGGCAAGTGCAGGCGGCCCCGCAGTACTGCCGGAAGGTCTGGTAGCAGCTGCCCTCGGGCTCACCCCCCCACTGACCACCAGATGGGGCGGTCAGCGCCTCGGGCGGCAGGCGGCTTAAGATGGACGTGTTGACGGCCAACGCGGCCAAGCCGTAGTCGGTGAAGAGCACAGTCTCGCGGCGGCAGGTGGGGCAGGAGATGAACTTGTACTTGGGGCAGGACTCATAGAGGATCTGCAGGCACTGCTCGCACACAGAGTGCAGGCAGGACAGCACGCGGGGCCGCCGCTGCGTGACGTTGTACGTGTGCCCGCAGGTGGGACACTCCAGGGGCTCCCCGGCGGCGGGTGACGGCATGGTGGGGGGCCCCGAGGCCGTGGGGCCAGGCGCCCGCATCACATACTGATTCACGATGACCTCGTCCACGGGCGCCACGCGGGGGAAGCCCAGCTCCGCGCTGCCCTTGCGGGGCCGGCGTGGCAGTGGCGGGGTGCGGGACGCCCCCTCCAAGGCAGGCATGTCCCCCCCACATGCCTGGTTGACGATGATCTCCGTGTCTGAGGGCCAGGCGCGCTTGGGTGCCAGAGCTGGGGTGGGCCGGGGCGCAGGTGCAAAGCAGGGGGCGGCCGCCTGCAGCTCGGGGAACTTCTCGGGGTGGACGATCTTCATGGCCTCCATCTTGAGGATGACATGGGGGCCCTTCAGGCAGGACATGAGGAGGCCTGGCCAGCCGCTGCCCGCCTCGGGCCCAGGGTCAGCCGGCATCCGGCTGTCTCCAGTCAGACAGGGTGTTAAGGTGGGAGGGGGCGTGGGGTGGGGCCGGGGGGGAGGAGCAGGGGCAGCATCCTGGTCCCGCCAGGCCTGGTGGGGACCCCGGCCTCCCCGAGGACTCTTGGGGGCGATTAGCGAGAGCTGGGGGGGCAGGGCCCCTCCCGGTGGCCACAGTGGCTTCTCTGGCCCAGTCCGGGGAGGAGGAGGAAGGGGTGGGGGGGGTGGGGGCCGGCAGGGGCAGAGGGGTGCGGGAGGCTGCCTGGGGCTGCAGGTCCGGCCCAGGGCCTCACCCAGGGTCTCCGGCGGCGGAGGCCGGCGAGGGGGTTTGGGGTGGGCTCTCCGTGCAGCCGCGGTCAGCAGCGCCCCGGCTGGGCCATCCGGGCAGGCGGGGGCTAGGTGGGCCCCATGGCTCCAGGGCAGGGTGCCCACGGAAGGCAGGTAGCCGGGGCCCTGGCTGCGGGCGGGCCCGGGCCGCAGGCTCGGCGGTGGCGGGAGCGGGGAGGAGGCCGGGACCAGGCCCGAGCTGCAGGTGAGAGACAGCGTGAGCGCAGCGCCCGCCGCCCTCGCCCGGCACAAAGACCCGGCGCCCGACCTCTGACCCTGACCCTCTCCGGGCGCGGAGCCCCCCCCCCCGCCCCAGTCCCGCCCCCGGCCGCGCGGCGGGAGGGCGAGTGGCGCCCGGGGCCGCCCGCCGCGCCCGCTCTCACCTGCCCCAGCCTGGCGTCCCGAGCCGCGCGCCGCCGCGGAGGTTGTCTCAAAGGCAGGCCCGAGTGCGGCGCCCCCGCCTCGGCCCGGCGGCTCCGGCGGCGACCTGGGGCGATGGCGCGGCCGCGGCGGCTCCCGGGGGCGCGGGGAGCGGGCTCGGCGCGGCGCGGCGGCGGCAGGTGCGTGCGGAGCGTGGCGCGCTCTGCGGCGGAGGCGCGGGGACCGCAGTGCGCGCGGCGCCCGCCTGCGCCCGCAGCGCCACCCCCCGTCTGGGGACCCGCGCGGGGTCCGCGGGGCGGGGCCAGCCAGGCTCTCGGCCGCCCCTCGATTCGCCGAGGGCCCGGCGCCCGCTCCCGGGGTCACCCCTCGCCCGCGCACCGCGTGCGGGTGCCAGTCCTGCGTCGCCCCTCCTCCAGTCCCCCCGCCGCGTCCCCGCCTGGCGGACCGGAGTCCTAGCCAAGCCTCCCGCCCGGACCCCCATGGCGAAGGGAGATCTGTTCTCAGCCCAGGCCTCGGGGCGGGGGGGGGGGGGGGGGGGGGAGAGGAGCGGGGCCCAGGGGTGGTCCCCGGAAAGCTGGTTCCAGCTCAGCCTGGGGCCGCCTGCGGCCCCCGCCCCCCGAGGCAGGCTCTCTGCTTGTCCCTCCGCTCAGGCCCCGGTGAGCGCCCTGGGGTCCCGCTCCAGGTGCACCCGCACCTGCCCAGCCCTGCAGGCTGAGGGCAGTGCGGCCTAGAGGGGGCAGGGGGGCAGGTACCGAAGGAGTGGGCGGGGGAGGGCCGCTGGGAGAAGTCCCCCAGGCCAGGACGCTGGACAGGTGTGTGGGTGAGGGCGGGGTATGTGGACGGTCAAACAGCTGGACAGACGCCACACACCTCCCCAGGGCGGGGTGGCCTTCCGCATCCCTCGGGCGGCACGTGCACGTGCCGGCCGTCACCCGCTGAGTGCTCGCCTGACCCCACCCCGCGGGAAGCCCCATTCCTTTCTGCTTCCTCCCCAGGCCGGCTTCCCTGTTCCCCGTGGGCGGGGGGGGGGGGGGGGCCGCCCTCGGTGGCAGGGAGGACAGCGGACCGCACGCAGGCGCTTGCCGCCCCGTGGCCGCGCTGGGCCTGCCTCTGACCTGGACGGCCCCAGCCCCTTCGGGCCACAGGCACCTCCGCGTGGGCCAGGCCGCACCTGGGTGCCCAGGTCCTCAGGGCAACGCGCCCATAGGTCGGTGCTCCCGGAGAGGAGCCCCGTGGGCACATCAGGCTGGAGGAGGGCCCCGGGGGCCCGGGGCGGGACTTGGCGGCCAGTGTCTAGGCCTCAGTTCCGGTCAGGCCTCAGGAGCAGGTGTGGGAGGGGCGGGACGGCCTCAGGGGGCTCTGGCCTGAGCGGGAGCCAGGAGGCAGCGGGGCCAGTGGACACGTTCGAGCCCAGCCTCTGCCTCGGACTCCACGCACCTGCCCTACAGACCCGCGGGGCGCGCACAGCCCAGGCCCCGCCCCCGCCAGAGGCCCCGCCCCCCGCCAGAGGCCCCGCCCCGTCCAAGCCCCGCCGGAACCGCCGGCGTCCGCGCCTCGCGAGCTCCGCCGTTCAGAGCTGGGGCGGCCCCAGGCGGGTTCGGAACGGTCCGGGCCCAGCAGACCCCGAACCGGGTCTTTAAGGGAACCCTCGAGCGCGGAGGCTTCTGGGGAATGAAGTTCCCACCGGCCGCTCCGGCCTGTGTCGCGCATGCGGGATGGCCGCCTCGCCGCGGAGGCGGGGCCTGCAGGAGCGGGAGGCGGAGCTTGCGGCGCCTGCGCACGGGCCTCCGCTCCCGGCCGGGGAAGTTCAAGGCCGCGGGCCTGGTCCCCTCGGGATCGGATGCTGCATCGGGAGAGCTCGTGTCCCGACCGGTCCGACCGGCCCCACGCAGGCCACCCTGGCCCCTGGGCCACATCTGATCTGATCCCGCCCTTCCTGGGGGTTCCCCCGGACACCGAGGACTGGGGGGTGCGGGCCGGGCCGCACCCCACTGCGCCGGGTCCCCCAGGGGCAGCTGGCCTGTGCTGGGGTTCACAGTGTTGCCCTCTGTTGTCACCCCCGCACACAGCCATCCTGCATGGCATGTGCTCAGTGCCACCTTCCAGACGAGGCGGGAGGGGTTCGAGGGCCGAGGGGGGCGCTGGAGGGGGACTCGGGGCCCCAGACCCCTCCCCGCAGAGGGACCCTGGACTCAGCAGGGAACTAGAATGTCACTGGGGGTAGGAAGCGCGTGTCGCCAGTTGCAAGATAAGTTTTATCAGCAAAAGTGTGTAAATCAATTTTTTTATCAGTTAAAATAAAAGGCAAGCCTCTGAGTCGGGCGGGCGCCTTCTCCCGAGGAGCCACTTGGTATTTATGACGTCATGCGCGGCCACACAGATCACCAGCTGAGGAACTCGCCGCTCTGTCCGCTCAGACAGGTCAATAACTCCCCCTAACGAGGCAGGGCGGACCGAGTGGCCTCGCGGCGCCCACGGCCCACGGCCGGACGCTCCCCACGCCTGCCCTCCGGAGCCCACGCCTCCACCAGCTCTGGACTCGCCAGGGGCAGAGGCTGTGCTGCACCGAAAAGCAGGGGCTCTGAGGGCGAGTGCCGGCCACCTGCCCCCGGGGCCTGAGGATGACCCCAGCTCCCCTCCTGGCCTCCTCCCCGGGCCCAGCACGCGCCTGGCATGTGTCGAGGCTGAGTCACCCCGGCTGGCCGTGCCCCTCGGAGCCCGGGCCGTGGCCACCGCCCCAGAAGGAAGGGTGGGTGCCCGCTATGCTGGAGGAGCTCGAGCCTCCTGGGAACTCGGGAACCCCATTTTTGAGGCCCGCCCATGGCCCCGCCCCTCCCCAGGAGGGAAAAGGAGCCGCCAGCCGCTCAGCTCACAGGCACTGGGAGGACCAGAGGACAGACTGCGGTTGCCACTCCAGGTGGGTCCTGGGCCCTCCCTGCTCTGGGGCACCCTGGTAGGGCCAGCTCTGCTGTGTCTCCAGACCCCCCCACCCTTTCCCAGCTCCCCCAGGGGACTGCCACTTGGGGGCGGCTGGAGACGGGCCCTCACGCTTGCTGCAGCCCAGGCACGCGCACGCTGACACGCAGGCCTGGCACCCGGGCATCTCCACAGCCTGGCTTTCCCTGGGTGGGCACTGTCCCTCCACCCGAGCCAACAGTCTGCTCTGCCCACCCTGCCAGGCCGGGCCATGGACCCCCACGAGATGGCGGTCAAGAACCCCTACACCCACATCAGCATCCCCCGGGCTCACCTGCGGCCGGACCTGGAGCAGCAGCTGGGGGCAGCCCCCTGCTCCTCAGAGCTGCAGCCTCTGTCTGGGGGTGCCTGCGCCCTGGAGCCCGGCCGCCTCCTGCAGCCCATCGAGGGGGCCAAGGGCGCCAAGGGGGCCAAGGGGGCCGCCCCTGTCCAGGGCCAGCTGTCCTGGCAGCAGCCTGGCAACCCCTACTGCAGCGGGCGCCCGGCGGGACTGACCTACACTGGCCTGCCGCCCATCGGGCGCGGAGACGACATCGCCCACCACTGCTGCTGCTGCCCCTGCTGCTCCTGCTGCCACTGCCCGCGCTTCTGCCGCTGCCACAGCTGCTGCTGCGTCGTCTCCTAGCCGGCCCCCCCGGGCTGCGTCTGCTCCGGCGGCCCTGGCAGCGCATGGACATTTGAGGCACCCGCTGGGCCATCGACATGGGTGCCGGCCACCTCCCACTCTAGACAGGGACACCTGCGTGCCACCCAGGCCAGCAGCTCAGCTCGGGCCTCTGGAAAGGGGGCCCTGGGCGCTGGCGTGTGGCAGCCGGGTACCCCGACCCCTCCCTCAAGGCCCGAGCCGGGTAATAAAGCAGAGTGCGCTTTCTTCAGGCGATTCCTTTCGGGGAGGGGACCCCAGGCTGGAAGGCACACCGCCTGGGGGCAGGGAAGCCACGGCCTCGAGGCTCTGACCTGCACTGCAGGTCACGGGTCTGCCCTGAGTGTGTCCCCGGCCCTGGCCAGGCCTGGGTTCAAGCGAGGACACACCTCAGTCTGTGGGTCCGACAGGAGGCCGTGCATGGAATCTGGGGAACGCAGCCCCAAAAAGGCCCCCAGGAGGAGGACCCGGCTGGTGGGAAGGAGGGGGTGGGACTGGTGCTGGCAGGTTCTGGGAGTGGGAGCTCAGGCAGCCAGGACCGAGCCCTGCTCGCCACTGTGAGTCACGGCCCTCCTTCCGCGGGCATTCTTCTGCCCACGAAACACCCAATTCCTGCACATCTGCCCTGGGGCGCCAGGCCATGCCGCCCCGCCCTGTCCAGACTCCAGGGCCCGGCTTCCCCGAGGAGGCGGCCGCAAAGGTGCTGGCTGGGGGAGGCCCTGCGGAGCCCCCGCCGTCGTCCAACCCCCCAAAACCCCCCCCCACCCCGTCTGCAGGCAGCACGGCATGCCTGTCGGAGGGCGTGCGGGCAGCTCCGCGGCGAAGCCCGGCATTGCTTCACTGCGGGGTGAGGCCAGGATGCCGGGGCAAGGAGTCAGCGGAGGCCGGCACCAAGCACCCCGATGTTTCCGGGGCTGGGCGGAGAGCTGAGGGAGGAAGTCGAGCTGGCCCCGCAGGACAGACAGGTCCTGTACCGGCCTGACCCATGGTGACTGGCCACATGGGTGTGGACAGACATGTCACTGGCCTGACTGTGCGGGAACGCGGGGTGCCAGACTCCTGGCCCCTGCCCCACGGCCGGCCCCCACCCAGGCCGGCCCCAGAAACCTGTCGGGTCAGTGCAAGAGGCTGCACATGCCAGAGTGATGGGGGCAAGGGGCCCTCTGGCCTTTGGCTTCCTCCCATCCAGGAGGAGGGGGTCTTGGGGGTCCTGACCCGTCTCAGCCTTTCTCTACTCACCCCCTTCTGCCGTGTCTGTGTCCCAGTCCCTAGGGGTCCCCGGTGGCGGTGGCCCTGATGGGAGTGTCCAGGGCTGCCTCTGGGTGTCCATGTGTCTGTGTGGGGACCCCCTTGGGGCCTTTCGAGACGGGACACCACCCCAGGATGAGGGCCGGCATGAACACGCTGGCCCCATGGACACGCACCCTCGCACTGTGATTGAACTGGGCGGAGCAGGGCCCCCAGGGCTCTGGGCCAGTGGGGTCCTGGCAGGCTTCCTGGAGGAGGCGATGCTTGAACGGCGATGAACAGGCCCCATCAGGTTAAGACCAGGAAGCTGCTCTGGCTGGGAGGGGAGTGTGAGAGGGAGAGTGTGAGGAGGGGGCAGGGAGGGGGTCTGGGTGGAGCAGGTGGGAAGATGGGCCTGGAGGAGCAGCAAAGCCAGGCCTGGGCTGGGGGTTCGTGGAGCTGGGTCTGGGCACGAAGTGGGGGGGCGGGCGGGGGGGGGGGCCGGTGGATCCAGTTGCAGGTGCTTTGTGGCTGAAAGGGGAGCCCGCCCGCCACAGCCACCACCTGCCTTCCTGCTGACTCGGCTCGGCCGTAACGTGAGCCCCGGAGGCAGCCGCAGGGCGCCCTGGGTCCCCCCACCCCCGGCCACCCTCCGGCCGGCACAGTCGCCCCGCAGAGCGAATGCAGGTAGGAGGCCTGGGCCCTGGCAGGCTGGGTGGTGGGGCCTGGGGCCCGGCAGGAGGGCCACGGGAAAGGGTCAGGCAGCCGGACCGGACACTGGCCCCGGGGACCCAGGCTGCAGCCGGACCCCGGCGTCTGCAGCGGCCTGGGCTCCTGTCCTCTGGGGTGGGCTCCCCGTGCCAGGGCCCGGACCGGGCAGGACGGGGGCAGAGGCAGGCGGGGTGGCTGTCAGCTCCCCGCACGCCTCCCCCAGGATGCTGCAGCCAGAGGGTCCCCCGGCCTCGGAGGAGGGGACAGCTGCTGGGATCCGGCGAGGCGACTGCATCATCTGCTACTCGGCCTACGACCTGGCCGGGCGCCTGCCCCGCCGCCTGTACTGCGGCCACACCTTCTGCCAGGCGTGCGTGCGGAGGCTGGACGCGCCCATCCACGAGCAGCGCTGGATCCCCTGCCCGCAGTGCCGCCAGAGCACCCCCACGCCCCGCGGAGGGGTGGCCATGCTGGACCTGGACCTGGCCGCCTTCCTGGCCATCAAGGCCGAGCGGGAGCCGCCCCGCGTGGAGCCCCGGCCCCCTGCGCCCCTCAAAGGCGGCCCCGCGGTCACTCGGCAGCCCGCCGTGCTCTGCCCCCCCCTGGGCCCCCAGCCCCGCTTCCCCCAGCCCAGCTGCTGCTGCTGGGGCTGCGGCCACCTCTGCTGGGCGCCCCCGGGCAGCCCCGGGGTCTGAGCTCCGGCCACGGCGGCCCCTGGGACAGGGCGGCGGCTGCTGGCAGGGCGCTGGCCTGGGACCCTCCGCAGGGGCGCAGCCCGCCCAGAACAGCCTGGGGACCCAAGGCCCCGGGCGCCGCCCCCCACGGACACCTGGGCCACAGCCTGAGGCCGGGGGCTGTGGCCACAGGACCGTGAGGCTCGGCAGGCATGGTGACTGCCCGGCCCATCCGCAGGGATCCCAGGCCCCGAGCTGGCCTGGGTGCAGGGGTGGGGGCTGCTGTTGGAGTCCGTAGCCCGCCCAGACCTAACTCAGCTCGGAGGGTCCGCTGGGCATCCCGGGCCCCATGCCCGGCCCTGCTGAGCGCGCCTCTCCTCCCTGACCCCTCCCGGAGGTCCCAGCGGGCGTGGAGGGAGGGCCGCCCCCGGCGTCCCTGGCCCACAGGGAGTCTGTGGAGTTTTCACTCAACAAGCTCATTGAACCCCCTGCCCCGTGTCTGTTCCGTGAGGGGAGTCCCTGCTGGGACAGTGTCGGAAGAGAGGGCCAGGTCCAGGCCCAGAGAGGGCGGGCACCCACCCAAGGTCACACAGCTCAGCAGGCCCACGCCCACCCCGGGCCTTGCCTGGCCCTCAGCTGCCTTCTGCCCCCCAGTGGCCACACACAGACCCGGTGGAGGGGCCACAGCAGCTGCTGGCGGCTATGGGCCCAGACACCCCCAGGCTGGGCGACCACATTCCCACACCCCCGCCCGGGGGAGGAGCTGCACGCGGAGCCCCTGGGAGGCACGCCAGGCGCCCGGGTGCTGGGTGGCAGGCAGGCAGGGGCGGGACACGGGAATCTGCTGAGAAGACTCAGAAACCTGCTCCGCTCCTGGGCAAAGTCCCCCAGCTCGGGGATTGGTGGGCAGGGCAGGTGCGGGGCAGCAGGCCCCTGGGGAGGCCTGGCCTGAGGGAGCTGAAGGGGAGTGACCCCAAGAGGAGGCACCCCACAAGCAAAGGGGCCTGTCAGGGCTCAGCTGTGAAGAGAGGGTTGGGCCAGGCCTCGGGGTCCATGCGGGGTCGGGTGGAGAGCCGGACCAGAGCATGGCCTTGGGGGGCGCCCTCCCGCCTCCCTCCACTTGCAGTTGGGGAGCTGACAGCCTAACCGTTGCTGGCCACCCTGGACCCACCCTGCAGAGAGCTCTGCCCAGCCCGGCCCGAGCCAGGTCTGAACCCATGACCCCAGGCCAGCCCTCCCCGCCCGACTAGTACAAAGGGCTTCCCTCCCACCATCTGCCGGGCAGGGACAAGCCGACCCAGATAAGGTCTGAGGGCGCGGGCAGACCTCCCCAGGCCCCCGGGCCCCCCAGCCAGCGCCCAGCACACCGCTCTGTCCCGGGCGGGCAGTGTCCCCGTCACAGTGTCACCCGGGCACCGGCTTGTGGAGGGCCAGCACGAAGGGCCAGTCCGGCCACACGATGCCCTGGGCCTGGCCCAGGGGACAGTGGGACCCGGACCAGGCAGGTGCCTGGGCTCCGCGGGGTACCCCCGGGGGCCTCGCTCCTGGGTAAACATTAATGCGGCTCAGCCCACGGCAGGTCATGTGGGCGCCCAGTGGATCTTTGACCTGCGGCTGAGCCCGCCCGTGTCTCCTCCCCACAGGTGCCCCTCACTACCCACACAGGTAGGAGCCTCGAGGACAGGAGGGGCGCGGGGAACACGGGAGCCAGGCCTGGGGGACCTCCAGGACAGGGACCGGCCTGTGTGCCAGCAGGAGGGAGGGTGACCGAGCCCCTCAGGACCGGGCCTGGGGAAGGGGGAGTTGAGGCGGAGAGCTGGGTGGGGGCCTCAGACCCCGCGGGCTGAGGGGGAGCCCGGGGCGGAGCGGGCACCAACGCTCCCTGCCCTGCCCCTCCTCGGGGGTGGGGCCCTTATCGAGAGGAGATGGCACCATTTGGTATCAGATGCCAAAGTCTAAGTCATCGCCATGGCCTCGGTGACACCTGGCAGAAGAGGCCCCGGGTTCCAGGCTCCCAGCTACTTCCGGCTGAGCCTCAGCACCCTCTGCCCTGGGCCACCCACCAGGCCTGCTGCCAGCCGGACAGCGAGGGAGCCGGCCGCAGGGCTCAACTCTGCCCCGAACTGAACTGGGCTTCCTGACAGCCGCCTGAGGTCACTATAGCGATGGGGTGGGGCGGGCACGGGAGGTCACCCCGGCCAGCAGGACCCAGGGGCTTGGGGGGGGGGGGCGCAGAGGGAAGAGGGGGTCTGACCTGCCTTCCCCCCACAGATCCGGGCTTGGGCCTGGGTCTGTCCCTGCTCGGAATCCATGCGGAGCTCTCTCCCCGGTGGCCAGGTCAGCCCCCCGACTCTGGACACGGTTGGGCTGGTGGACCAGAGTCTAGGAAACACAGGTATCAGGGCCCAGCCCTGGACCCACGGCTCTGGGGAGGCGGGAGGGGCTCAGGACGACCCTGGTCAGGGCCCTCTTCCTTCCCACTTCCTGCCTCTGTCCCTCACCCCAGGCCCCTGTGCATGGCCTTCCCCACCCCCACCCGCCCCCACCTGGGGGTGAACAGGACACAGCTCGGTCCTTGGCTCGACCCCCCCCTGCCCCTGCCCCTGCCCCCGCCCCTGCAGGGACCTCCAGCCCTGCCCCCGCCATGGAGGAGGGGCCCGCGGACCCCTGGGCCCTGCCCCAGCTGAAGGACACGGGCCAGTCCTGGAAAGGTAGGTCAGGAGGTGCCCGGGAACTGGCCATGTGGGGCTGTGCTCCCAGGGTCTGAGCAGGGAGAGGGCCCTGGGGAGGGAGAGCAGGGAGGGGGTTTGTCCAACGGGAAACCCACCCCGCAGACCAGCACCCCAGGGACCCTCGTCCCTGCACTCAGCTGCCTTCCTGCCCAGTGAGGGACCCTCTTCCCCCTCTTGCTGGCAGCGAGGCTGTAGGGAGGCCCGGGGCTGTCTGCTTGGCCATTCTGCAAAGGAGCAGGGAGGGGGGTTGCCCAGCCCTGCCCGGGTGGGGGGAGATGGGGGTGAGGCGGTGGGCTGGCAGGCAGGGCAGACGGGCTGGCTGTGGAACCCGCCCTGTGTCCGCAGAGCTCAGCGTGGCCGGCAGGGTCCGGCGGGTGCTGCTGGGCTTCCTCAAGGCCTGCGGGCTCCTGGGCAGCCTCTACCTCTTCGTCTGCTCCCTGGACATCCTCAGCTCTGCCTTCCAGCTGCTGGGCAGTGAGTGGCCGGAGGGGCTGCCGGGGGGTGTGGGGGCGGCAGCCAGGCCTGGGCCTCAGCGCCCCTCTCTCCCGGGCACAGGCAAGGTGGCCGGGGACATCTTCAAGGACAACGTGGTGCTGTCCAACCCCGTGGCCGGGCTGGTCATCGGGGTGCTGGTCACGGTGCTGGTCCAGAGCTCGAGCACGTCCTCCTCCATCGTGGTCAGCATGGTGGCCTCCAGCTGTGAGTGCCCTCCTGTCCCGGGTGGGGGTCGGGGGGGCACGGGAGGCTGACATGCGCCCCCCACAGTGCTGCACGTCCGGGAATCCGTGCCCATCATCATGGGCGTCAACGTGGGCACATCCATCACCAGCACCCTGGTCTCCATGGCACAGTCGGGGGACCGGGATGAGTTCCGGAGGTGAGTGGCCGGGAGGGCGGGGCCGGGGCCGCCCTGGAGCCAGCCTTGGCTGACCCCTCCGCCCCCCACGGCTGCAGGGCCTTCGGGGGCTCCGCGGTGCACGGCATCTTCAACTGGCTCACGGTGCTGATCCTGCTGCCGCTGGAGACCGCCGTGGCCCCGCTGGAGAGGCTCAGCGAGCTGGCCCTGCAGGCCGTCAGCCTGCAGCCCGGGACGCAGGCGCCCGACATCCTCAAGGTGCTGACGCAGCCGCTCACCCACCTCATCGTGCAGGTGTGGATGGGCTGCCCTCCCTCGGAGGCCTGTGGGCCCCGGCCTGGGCGGAGGGGACAGAGGAGGGGGCTCTGGGCCCTGCCATGGTGTGAGCTCCCGGCAGGTTCCTGAGAGTCCAGCTCAGGGTCGCGACCCCTCTGTCTGCAGCTGGACGCTGACGCGATTGCCAACAGCGCCACGCAAAACGCCACCAACAGCAGCCTCATCAAGCACTGGTGTGGCGCCAGGGAGCCCACGGTGAGGTGCCTCTGCCCTGCCCTCCGCCCGCCCAGCGGCCCAGCCCCGCAGCTCCGAGCCCGCCCTGAGCCTGCCCTGCCTGTGCCCGCAGAGCCCAGGAAACAGCAGCGACTGCGGGACGGCGACCTCAGGCCCCTGCCCTGAGACAAATGGCTCAATCACCAGGGAGCAGCTGCCCTGTGAGGCCTGGCCCCTCCCCAGCCCTCACCGCCCCGCGAGGGCCACGGCGCCCCGCTCACCCTCTGCTCCCCCGCCCCGCCCCGCCTCCAGGCCACCACCTGTTCTCGGGCACGGCGCTCTCGGACCTGGCCGTGGGCCTCATCCTGCTGGCCGGCTCCCTGCTCGTGCTCTGCTCCTGCCTGGTGCTCATCGTCAAGCTGCTCAACTCCGTGCTGCGTGGCCGCATCGCCCAGGCCGTGCGGACCGTCATCAACGCCGGTGGGTGGTGGGTGCGTGGACCGGACAAGGGCCCACGGCGGGGCGCGGGCGAGGCTGAGAGGCCGGGCGGGGGGTGACCGCGCTTCCCCCCCCAGACTTCCCCTTCCCGTTCGGCTGGCTCAGCGGCTACCTGGCCATCTTGGTGGGCGCCGGCATGACCTTCGTGCTGCAGAGCAGCAGCGTCTTCACGTCCGCGATCGTGCCGCTCATGGGTGAGCGCCGGCCGGCACCCGGGTGGGCGTGGGCGTGGGCGTGGCCCCGCCGTGACCTCCTGCTCCTCCAGGGGTCGGGGTGATCAGCCTGGAGCGGGCCTACCCCCTCTTACTGGGCTCCAACATTGGCACCACCACCACGGCTCTGCTGGCCGCCCTGGCCAGCCCCCCGAAAATGCTGTCCAGCGCTCTCCAGGTACTGCCCCCCGTCCTTCCCCTCCCGGCACCCCAGTCCCCACAGCCAGCCCTGCACACAGGAAGCTGAGGCCTGCCCCGCGCTGGCCACGGCTCCAGCTCTCCGGGACCCACCTCCATCTGCCTGCCCAGGCCAGCTGCCATCTCCTTGGGCCCCAGGGACCCGGTGGGCATCTCAGGGACCCCCCAGTCCCGCTTCTCCTCCCCTGCTACCTTGTGCAGTGCTGGGGTGTCCTCTGCACCTTTCCCTCTGTCCCCCCCTCCCCACCCTGTGCCCAGGCTCTGTTCCTTCCAGGCCTCCTGGCCCTGCATGGCTGGAGCCCCCTATTCCACCACCTCCAGATGTGCCCCCATCACCTACACCCAACAGGTCCCCCGGACGACACGCTGTGCCCCTGAGAGGCGCGCCCCCCTGTGCTGGGCACCGCAGGCCTCCAGGAAGCACCCCCTGGCCCAGCTCTGCCCTGTCCCCCGTCCCATCCAGTCCTGCTTTCTCTCAGGGTCCACTGCTCTGGCCCCACCTGGGGGCCCAGACAGGCAGCTCCGAATGTCCTGTTTTGCTGGGCTGCTGCCCACTGGAGGCGAGAAGCCCAGGCCCCCGCCACCTCCCACCTGTCCACTCGGACCCGTCAGTGCGGGCCCTGCTCCGCCTCCCTCCAGGGAGCCCTCCAGACGGTGCCTACCAGCTCGGCTCCTCAGTCCAGCAGCCCCTGGATGGGGGGTGGCGGGCGGGCCCCTGCACCTCCCCTCACAGCAGCCCGGCCAGAGCCCAGGGCTGGTGGCCAAGCCCCCCGAGGGATGAGGGTCACTGGGCACCAGGCATGGGCAAGCTACGCAGCCGGGGGAAGGGAGTGGGAGCCATGCAGGTGCCCCCCAAAAGCGGGGGCAGTGCAGGAGGCGCATGCCCACACCTGGCTGGACCCTGCCCTCCCAGGTGGCCCGTCTCCGCCCAGGAGCAGGACCCCAGGCTGACTTGGGACTCAGCACCATTTGGGGGGGGCAGGCAGCCTGGGGGGCCAGGGGATCCGAGTCACGTCCCTGCCTGCCCCCCGCCCCCAGGTGGCCTTCATCCACTTCTTCTTCAACGTGGCTGGCATTCTGCTGTGGTACGTGGTGCCCGTCCTGCGCCTGCCCATCCCGCTGGCCAAGCACTTCGGGGACCTGACCGCGCGCTACCGCTGGGTGGCGGTGGCCTACCTGCTGCTCAGCTTCCTGCTGCTGCCGCTGGCCACCTTCGGGCTCTCGCTGGCGGGGCCCGCGGTGCTGGCCGGCGTCGCGGGGCCGGTGGCGGCGCTGCTGCTCCTGGTCGCGCTGATCAACGTGCTGCAGCGGCGGCGGCCGGCCTGGCTGCCGCGCGCCCTGCGCTCCTGGGCCTGGCTGCCCCGCTGGCTGCGCTCCCTGGAGCCGTGGGACCGCCTCGTGGGCCGCTGCTGCCCCTGCCGGGCCTGCAACCCCCTGCCCGCCGCCGCCAAGGAGGCGCACTGCTACGAGAACCCCGAGGTCCTGGCCTCCCAGCGGCTGTGAGCGGGGAGGGGTCCCCGCCCCGCACTGCGCGCGGGGCGCCCGGGGGTCCCGTAGCTGCGGACTTGGAGTCAGCGGGCTCGCCTTCTCCGCAAATAAATGCCTGGGACCCGAGTGTGGGTGTCTTCTCTCCCCGACGGCCCTGCCGGGCCCCCTGCCCCCTCCCTTGGGGAGGGGGGGAGCAGCGTCTTTGCGGCCCCCTAGCGGCCGGGCCGCGGAGGAGCCGGTGTGGACGCGCAGGGGGCCCCCCGCCCCGGGCTGGAACCCCTTCTCTCGCGGCCGCGGGGGACAGCAGACACCAAGGAGCGGCCGGGAGCGTGAAGGCTCCCCGGGGTCCGGGGCGATCTGAGGTCCCGGGAGGCTGGGCCCTGCCAGGCGGGCGCGGGGAGGGCGCCGGTTCCCACGCCCGCCGCCTGGAGGAGGCGCGCGGGGAGGGGCGCAGGCAGCCCTCCGCCGCCCAGCCCGCAGGTGTGCAGGGCAGTGAGGTGGGGACCGGTGACCCCGAGGCGTCCTGCCCCCTCCCCCCGGTTCTGCTTTTCTCGCTCCAGGCGGGGCGGGGCGGGGCGCCGGGCGGAGAGGGAGCAGGGCTGCGGGCAGGGCCCCCGGGACGGCCTTGCGCGTCGCGGGGTGGCGCAGCCCGAGACCTAACCGGAAGCAGGTGCTGCGCCGGCCCGGGCTCCACCCGCAATGTGAGCGCCCCTGCCCCGGCGGGAGGCGGGCGCTGCGCCCCTCACCTGGGGCGGCACCTGCCGGGAGGGGCTGTGCCCTCGGGGCTCCCTGCCCCCCCGCGGCGGCGCGTCCGGTTGCCACACAGGAAGGTTTGTCTGCGGGCGGCTGTCACCAGACACCGGGGAGGCGCCTGGGCCTCCTGCCCCTCCAGCCTGACCCCCAGCCGCCAGCGGAAAGGAAGCTTCGCGAAGTCCGGCCCTCGCCCTCGCCCCCAGCCGTGCACTGAGCGGGGAGAGCCGGGTCAGAGTCAGCTGCTGGGGCCGTCCCCGCTCCCGGTCCAGGAGTGCTGCTGGGACTGGGGGGTGGGCGTGGTCAGGAAGATGGGGGAGGCCCATGGCCCAGGCCCATCCTTACTTTATTGTCACTGGATTTTTTAATTTATTGATTTGAGGGGGGAGGGGGAGAGAGAAACATCGATTTGTTGTTCCACTTACTGATGCACTCATTGGTTACTTCTTTATATATATTATATTGATTCCAGAGAGGAAGGGAGAGAGATAGAAACATCAGTGATGAGAAAGAATCATCGATTGGCTGCCTCCTGCACGCCCCCTACTGGGGATCTAGCCGGCAACCCGGGCCTGTGCCCTTGGCCGGAATCGAACTTGGGACCCTTCAGTCCGCAGACTGATGCTCTATCCACTGAGCCAAGCTGGCCAGGGCTCGTTGTTACTCTTGTGTGTGCCCTGACCAGGGATCAAACCCCAAACCTTGGTGTATGAGGACCACGCTCTAACCAGCTGAGCTCCCGGCCAGGGCCAGCTATTGTTACTTATGGTCCAGTCCTTTTTCTGGCCCTCAGGTTCCCTCACACCGCCCACCCCCCCCATGTCCCCCAAGTCCTCTGTCCCTCACCCCCTCCATGGAGCCCTGGCCCCCTCCTCCAACAAGCTCCTCGGCCTCCTGAGCCTGGGTGCACCCCACCAAGGGGAGTGGCCTCTATTCTGGAAGCCATGGGGGGCCTGGTGGGAGCACGACCCCTGGAGCAGGCTTGTGCACCCCAGTTTGGCTTCCCCCCACTCTGTGACCCCAGGACACTCCTTTGGGTCTGACCTTAGCCTCACAGGCCCTCTGATGGAAGTCCCCGGGGGAGAGGCAGGCCTGGCCAGCTCCCCGGGGCGATGGGGAGGCAGTGAGGGGGAAGACAGTGCCCCCTGCACCTCTCCTTCCGGGGCAGGTGAGGCCACCCACAAAGGCTGACCGCCAGGTCCTTTGAGGCCACAAACGACTGTCTGCCTGCTGCCCCGCCAAGAGGTAACACACCCTCCCACTGGGACCATGGCCACCAGGAGACAAAGCCACCCCTGTGGATGTCTCCACAGCTGCTGGCTGCCGGGGGCCGGGCGCCCCGCACTCCCGCGGCCCCGCCGGGTCCCCGCGCCCGGCCTCCCCCCTGGCCACAGGCCCCACCGGCTCAAGGCTCCGCACCGTGGCAGGAACACCCTTGGCCGAGGGAGGGACCTGCAGAGCCCACCAGCCTGGCCACTGCAGCAGCCAGAGTCCTCAGGCTCAGGCCCGAGGGCCACAGGGAGGTCCCTCTTCCTGGACGGGGCAATGGGAGGGGCAAGGCAAACGACCTTGGGGCTCACTCCTGGGCGGGCGACACACCACTCCTTTGTTCCCCTAAAGTGGGGGTGCCATACTGAGCTGCCAGCCCTGTGGGCACTGGCCAGAGGGAGCCTTTCCCAGTGGGGTCTCAGGCCACGCAGCTTGGGGAGGGCTTTGCCCAGCTCACGGGGGGTGCGGGGGGGAGATCTGAACGCCTCCCTTTCTCAGTGGCCTCCCTGCTGCACAGCCAGGGCCGGCCACGCTGCTGGGCGGTAAGCTGGCTACTTGGCAGGGCACCGGGAGGACCCAGGGTCCAGGCAGTGACCCTGCACACCTCACATGCCATGGCTTGTGGTCAACCGAAGCCCAGCTCACCTTCCTGGCCTGTTTGTGGGGACAGGCCTGGTCTGAGGCCCACATGGCCTGACTGCCCTTCGACAGGGGTGAATCCCACTAGAATAGTTATCAGCTTTCCAGGTGTGTCCGCCCAGGGTCCTGGTCTCTACTGATGGATGCGGCCAGGGGGTCATTAGTCAGTGACACTGGTTGGCATCGGCTAGGGCAGTGGTTCTCAACCTTCTGGCCCTTTAAATACAGTTCCTCATGTTGTGACCCCCAACCATAACATTATTTTCGTTGCTACCTCATAACTGTAATGTTGCTACTGTTATGAATCGTCATGTAAATATCTGAGATGCAGGATGGTCTTAGGCGACCCCTGTGAAAGGGTCGTTCGACCGCCAAAGGGGTCGCGACCCACAGGTTGAGAACTGCTGGGTCTGGTTTAGCTGCTTCTCTGGGCCTGGTGCCTGCAGGGCTGAGCAGCCAGCTGCAGACCCCTCCCCCGGGGACGCTCGGGGTGATGCCCCATGGGCCGCCTGTCCCAACGGCCGACCCACAGAGGAAGCTGCTGCAGGGAACAGTGATCCCGCAGCGTGCCACGACTTCCTGCCTGCTGGGTGCAGTGCAGGCCAAGAGCTCATGCCCACCAGCGAGAGGAGTGGCAAGGCACTGCCCCCAACACCCTCGCGCTGGGGGACCAAGGAGGGTAAGAAGTTGAGAAAAAAACCGAACTAACAAAAAACAGTCCGACTGGTGCGGCTCAGTGGTTGAGCATCCACCTATGAACCAGGAGGTCGGGGTTCGATTATTGGTCGAGGCACAGGCCTGGGTTGTGGGCTGGATCCTCGGTGGGGGGCACGAAGGAGGCAGCAGATCCATGATTCACCAGTGATGTTCCTCTCTCTCCCTTCTTCTCTGAAACCAACAAAAATATATTAAAAAACAAACAAAACCAAAACAGCCCTAGCTGGTTTGGCTCAGTGGATAGAGCATCAGCCTGCAGACTGAAGGGTCCCGGGTTCAGATCCCCATCGAGGGCACATGCTGGGTTGTGGGCTCCATCCTCAGTAGGAATGCAGGAGGCAGCCGATCAATGATTCTGTCATCGTTTCCCTCTCTCCTCTCCCTTCCTCTCTGAAATCAATAAAGATATTAAAACACAAAAACAAACCCAGAGTCCAGAGAGGCCCGGTGGCCACCCCCAGGAAAAGCGTGCAGGGCCCATCTAAGGTGTGACCTGTGCTTTTTCTCCTGTAAATGTTAAGTATGACAAGCCTACGGCTGTCAAGGCGACACAGTGAAGGTGCAACCACGTGTTCGACGTTTTTCCTTCCTAAGTTTTGCTCCTCCCCCCCTTCCCCCAACATAAGCAGATAAAAGTAAAGGCATTTGTCGGCGGGCCCGCCAAACCTTGGTTGTTTGGGTGTCAAAATGGCACCAGAATGTCGCCCGTGATTGGAGTCGGGTCAGACCTTGACTCAGCAACCTCCGTACTCGAGTTCTGGTTAAGAAAGAATTCAGACGCCAGACTCAACCTCCAGGAGAAAGTTTATTTGCAAAGTCACATAGGCAGCCCTGAGCCGTGAGCCGCGGAGGAAATGGGCTCAGGAAGCGGGTTACAGAGGCCAAAGGGCCCTGGCGCCCCGGAGGGAGGAGGGTGAAGGGGGGGGCGGGGAGCAGGTTGAGAGCAGGCGGAGCCCTCGGTAAGGGGCTTGTTCTAAGGCTGGGGATTCGAGGGGGCCCGGTGGGTCCTGCAGGAGATGCATGGCTCTAGGTACGTCCTCCATCGACTGGTGCGGCCAGGGGGTCATTAGTCAATGCAGCTGGTTCTGGTTTTGCTGCTTTTCTGGGCCCGGAGCTGAAGCCCAAGTGCGGCCTGGATGCGTTTGATCCGAGTCAGCACCGCAGCTTCTTGGGGGCTTCCTGCTTACGGGATATCCCCGCTGGCTCCCCCTTTGGCGGGGCCTCACCCGCAGGGCGGGCAACGAGCCCGGGGAGGGGGAGGTCCGGACCGGGCCTGCACAGCCGGACCGCGCTCTGCTGGGGGCGGCAAGGTGACCGGGGGCAGGCCTTGTTTTCCCAGTTCCGCCCGTTGCTAGGCGCCGAGCTCGGCGCCCGGGGAGCTTCTGCACCCGCCTGGATGCCTAGCGCCGCCGGGGCAGCAGAGCCGGAGCCGGCAGGTCCCGCGCCAGCGCCCGGGGAGGTCTGGGCGCCGCCCTAGTCTCCACGGAGCTGCGTAGCGTTGGGGCCGAGGCACCAAGGCGACGGGAGCCGGGCCAGCGCAGTCTCCACAACAAGCTCGGGGCTGCGGGCAGGGACCCGCCCTGCCCCCTCCCCGCCGCGCCCCCGCCCCCGCCCCCGCGCGGGGCCCACGTGCTCCCTCACCTGACCGCCGCCCTAGCGGCGCCCTAGCGGGCAAATGGCCCGGGGAGGGGCGCAGCGCGGGGAGGGGCGCAGAGCCCGAGTCCTCAGCGGCTCTGACGGAGGCCCTACTG